AAAAAAAAAAATCGAGTCGAAACTAACAAATTATAGTATGTTTAAAATTCAAGTTCAAATTTATCATGAATTTATCAATATAGTATAATCATTTAATTATAATATAAAGTAATAGTACTGTATAATAGCTTATATTACTTATTGCAAATTTGAATAACCACAAAATATTGTATGCTAAATTTGCAGCTTACATAATCATTCATACTAGCTAAAAGCAATTAATTTAACTGATTCATATCAATATTTTTACTAATATTGTGTGCTTTTTTGTCTTTTGCTCTAACTTTCCGTGCAGAAATAATATATTGATCAATATTTTCTTTATCATTATTACTAGTTTTTCGGCGCTTTATTGATTTAACTTGCACACGAATTTTTGCTCCACTTTTTACTCGTGCAAGTGGATCAACATTACGATTAATATCATAAAGAAATGATGTCAGTGCTGGAACAGATTTAGCTTTAGCTGCATTGTATCATTCAGCAAATTTATTAAAGGCAGTCTGAAGATTCAGACTACAATTTTCATAATCATGTTTGATAATTTCAAGAAATGAGTTAAAAGAAGCAGAGTTATGTCTAAAAATAGATTGTTTTAGAAACTTTCATATAAAAAATCAAAATTAAGAATATAAAATACATACTCCAAAGTAGTTGAATTAACATCTAGTATTTCTGTTTCCCAGATTTTGTTACTTTCTTGAGACACATTATTCAATTGCATTTTATATCTAAGATCTTCAGGTTTATTATTTGTACAAGCATGTAGTGATGCATAAAAGGAATGATCATTTGACAAAAGTCCTTAAAATATTAAAATAATATTAATAAATTACTTTAATAACCTTAATATATATAATAATTAGTTAAATAATGAGTTAAATAATTAATCGCTTACGTACCAGATGCAATATATGCAAAAATTGCATGATCATAAGGCATTAATGATTGATAAAAATTTAACGATCCAATATTGTACTTTGCAGCTACTGCACCTTGATGTTTGCAAGATGCACCAGATAATCCAATAAAACATGTACTTACAAATTTCAACATTGACAGTATAAAATAAATCAGTATTATTTTTTTGACTCAGAACTAGAAACTCTGAATCTATTTCAGATTGTCGAATTTCAGCTGCATTAATTGATTCCTATCTGGGATATAAGAAACGTTTGGCAATTTGAAGATGACCAGGGTAACTATGTGCTAGTCCAAGTAATCGACACCCGTAGAATTTCTCCATGTTAGTAATAATAAAGTGAAATACTTGAACACTATTGTACGCTTGAGTGCGTGCAAATATAATATCTTTCATTAATCTAAAACTACGTTTTATGTAATTGTTTGTATTGTTTCCACGCATAAGAAGTCTAGAACGAAATGATACAGCCCAGAATTGACGCCGAACCCAGAGCAATTCAAAATGCTTATGCAGCTGTGGATATACTGAATAATAGTTGGCCCTAAATTCATCATAAAATCTCTCCATTTCAATTTCTGTCTGTGAATATAATATTTTTTGCATAAATTTCATTATAGACATTTTATATTCTTTACTTATATTATGCTTAGAATTATGTAACCAACGCCAGAATGCCTGAAGTACATGAAATATACATAATAATTGTTTTAACTGTGGCCAGCAATTCTTTAATACAGTTCGTTCAGCATTCGAATCATCCGTAAGGAAAATCATAGGACCAAGATCAGATCTATGACCAAAAAAAGCATGTAATGGAAGAAGTTGTTTTAGAAGATTAAACCCTTTTTCAAGAGTTATTTCTAACTCATCTGAGGTTATAATAAGACCAAGAGGTAATGCACCCGCGATGCAACTTGTATAAAATAAGGTGATTGAAGTATTTAATGGTTCAAATGATGCAGATACATCTACATAACAGAGTTCACCTGCTTGTCTAATTTTTTCGTGAACATGGCTCATTAAATTTGTAACTACACATAAAATAAATGCAGTATTTGATTGTGAATTATACTCCTGAAGTACTGCACAGCCTTGTTCTGAATTATTGTAATTGTCAACCTCATATTTAAGACGCTAAACATTGTTATACCATTTCATCCACCATGCTATTCATCGTGATATTGTTTAAACAGATTTAATACATAACCATAATCAGGATTTTGCGCATGGTCAGCTAACAGTTGTATAAGTTCTTGATCATTGCTTGCATGAAGATAAATACTATCCTTATAAGTATGTAGAGCTGTTGCTGGTGAATGCCCACTAGCAAAAAGATCAAGATATTTTTTGTGAACCTCTTCTTTAACAGGACGGAAACTAAGAGATTCAGCAAAATTTAGAACATGGTTATGCACAAATTTAATGTTAACCTTAAGTGGATGGGTAGTTTGAAGGCACCAACGTTCAAGCCGAAGACTAATTGTTGCCTTACATTCTGTATTTCTAACAC